CTACTCACATGAAAACCAAATTGCTTTTCCCTAGATAGTCCCTTTTCTTTTGTCCAACTGCCACACTGATACATATGCCTGGAGTGAGCCATGATTATCGAATAAACTCTTTGTCCCGAAGGGTTTCCAGGAAATAAACATGAATGCTGTCCTGAAAAATATATGTATAGGAGTCTATATATTGCAAAGACTTGTAAATAATAAAATGTATTTTTAAAGCCTCATCAGGTATCTGTGGTTCTCTGGCAACTTGTGTTCTCCAGCCCAGCCAACGTCTCAAAAGCCCCAGTGATTTTAGCAATTGTTCTTAAACTTAGCTGCACATCAGAATCATCTAGAGAGATTTTTTTTTGTTTAAGTACCCTGAATATAGCTTACATCAATTCAATCAGAATAAGTGGGACCTGCATGCACATCAGTATTTTTTCCTAGCTTTCTAGATGATTCTAATGTGCACCCATGCTTGAGAACCAGACCTAGAAGCCAGCAAGATTTTGTAAGTTTGCTCAGTGACATGGAGAGTAGCCCCAAGGCATGGTTGCCCTCTCAGGGACAACAACCTGCCAAAATCTTCTCCCCTGTTTACAGATTCCCAGGGTCTAAGGGCCCTATGGTCTGCACTATCCAGCTACTCCTCTGGGTCACATGTTTAGGTGAAGCCCAACCTACGCAATAGGGGGATGGAGAAAAAGGTAAATCCAGTAACTGGTGATGGAAAGCACCTAAGGGACTTAGTATCTATCACTCCACAACAGCTCCAAGACACTGTGGTCACATTGTGGCATATTTTTCCCTATTCAAAATTGCCCTTAATACTCATTGTAGCCCAACTTCACACATATAAATAATATTTCTAGAGGGAACAGAAGCTAATTATTTGCCCCAGTGCCACTGCTGCTGAGTCTTACCCTGAGATATAAATCCACTTACAGCCAAGCCAATCAAATTAATTTAAAGGAAATTATTCTTAAGAAGTCTTATATTTGTCAAGGTTTCAAATTACTTGAGCAATTAAAAACTAACTAAAACTAACCTAGACTCCCTTCCCTTAGTGAGGTGAAAAGAGCTCTTGAAGTACTTTTCAAGAATGAAAGATGAAGTACCAACCTGCATAAAGT